TTTTGTCAGATGCTTTCACTGCATCTAATAATATAATCATATGATTTTTACTTTTTATTTTATTAATGTGATGTGTCATATTGATTGATTTGTGTATGTTGAACCATCTTTGTACCTCTGAAATGAACCTCATTTGATCATGATATGTAATCTTTTTAATGTATTGTATTTGATTTTCTAGTATATGGTTTAGAATTTTGCATCTATATTCATGAGATATTGAAATGTAATTTTCTTTTGTGTGTGTGTTATCTTTGCCAGGTTTTGGTAACAGGGTAAAAGTGGCTTCATAAAATGAGTTAGAAAGTATTGCCTCTTCTTCAATTTCATTGGAAGAGTTTAAGAATATGTATTAAATCTTTGGATGTTTGGTAGAATTCACTAATGAAGCCATCCGGGCCTAGACTTTTACTTTGGGGAAGGTTTTTGATGACTGTTTCAATTTCCTTAGTGTTGATTGGTCTATTTAGATTTTCCAGTTCCTGATTTTGTCTTGGAATGTCATAGATTTCTAAGAACTTGTCAATTTCTTCTAGATTATTGGCGGCATATAGCCTTTCATAGTTTTTTGTATTTCTGTGGCATCTGTTGTAACTTCTCTTTCATTTCCAGGAAGGTTTTTGATGACTGTTTCAATTTCCTTACTGGTCTATTTAGATTTTCCAGTTCATGATTTTTGTCTTGGAATGTCATAGATTTCTAAGAACTTGTCAATTTCTTCTAGATTATTGAATTTGGTGGCATATAGCCTTTCATAGATTTTTGTATTTCTGTAGCATCTGTTGTAACTTCTCTTTCATTTCTGATGTTTTTATTTGGGTCTTTTCTTTTTTCCTTAGTGAATCTAGCCAGAGGTTTGCCAATTTTATTAATCTTTTAAATAATCAGCTCTTTGTTGAATTATTTTTCTATTATTTTGTTTAATTCTGCTCTAATTTTTATTATTTCCTTCCTTCTACTGGCTTTGGGCTTCATTTTGTTTTTGTTTTTCTAGTTTGTTAAGGTGAAATGTTAGGTTGTTATTTGAGATATTTCTGTTTCTTGAGATAGGTCTGCAATGATATAAACTTCCTTATCATTACCACTTTTGCTGCTTCCCCAAATTTTGACATGTCGTATTGTCATTCTCATTTGACTCTATGTAAATTTTGATCTCTTATTTTATTTCTTCTTTGACCCAGTTATTGTTTAGTAGCATGTTGTTTAACATCCACATATTTGTGATTTTTCCTGTTTTCTTTTTGCAATTGATTTCTGATTTCAAAGCATTATAGTTGGAAAATATGCTTGCTATGATTTCAATCTTCTTAAATTTGTTGAGTCTAGTTTTGTGTCTTGACATATGGTATATCCTTGAGAATGTTTCATGTGTGCTGGAAAAGAATGTATAATCTGGTGTTCTGGGATGAAATGCTCTGTAAATGTCGATTGTGTCCATTTGGTCTAATGTGTCAGTTAAAGCCAATATTTTCTTATAGATTTTGTGTTTGGATGATCTATCTATTGCTGTCAATAAGGTATTTAGGTCTACTATAATTGTGTGTGTGTGTGTTTTCAGTTTCTTCCTTTAGTTCTGTTAGTAGGTGTTCTATATATTTTGGTACTCCCAGTTTGGTTCCATGCATACTAATAAGTGTTTTGTCTTCTTGATGTATTGTTCTCTTTATCATTATAAAAAATGTTCATCTTTGTCTTTTGCTATCATTTTTATCTTGAAATCTATGTTTTCAGATATAAATATGGCTATAGTCTCTTTTCTCTGGATGTCATTTGCTTGGAGTACAATTTTCCACTCTTTCGCTTTGAATTTATGTTTGTCCTTGCAGCTGAGATGTGTCTCTTGCAGGCAGCATATAACTGAGTTTTGATTTTTGATTCAACCTGCTACTCTGTGCCTTTTAATTAGTGAGTCAGTCCCTTTACATTTAGGGTGATAATTGACATATGAGGATTTCCTATAGCCATTTTATCTATTTTTTCCTCATAGCTCTGTGTCACCATTGTTTCTTTTCTCTTGTGTTTCTGTCTGTTATTTTAGTTTGGTGGTATTTTACAATTTTTTTCCATTTCCTCTTTTTTTGTCTCAGTTCTAGATCTTCTTGGTTACCTTTAGGTTTATGTAAAATAAATTTTATATATGTAATAGTTCTTTCTCTTCTTATTATATCTTATTTCCATTCACTCATACAAATTTAGTCCTTTTCCCACTCTCATTTTATGTTTTTGTTGTCACAAATGATCCCTATTTATGTTGTGAGTTTATGTCACGATTGCAGTGGCTATTATCTTTTTTTAAAAAGTATTATCACCACCTTTAACCTTTATGCTATATTTAAGTGTTTAATACTCTATTCTGAACAAGGGTTGCAATTTCATGCTTTTGTCTTTTTGTTGGTGATCTTACTTATATTTTGTATTCTTTTGTCTTTTTATTTCAAGTAGAAGAGCATCCTTCAGCATTTCTCGTAATACTGGTCTTGTCTTGGTAAATTCCTTTAGCTTTGGCATGTTCAGAAAAGCCTTTATTTCTCTTTCCTATCTAAAGGATAACTTTGTTGAACATATTAGTCTTCACTGGTAATTTCTCTTTCAATAATTTGAATATTTGATTCCACTCTCTCCTAGCTTATTGAGTTTCTGCTAAAAAGAATCCAATGATAATCTAAAGGAGTTTAATTTATAAGTTACAGTATTCTTTTCTCTGGCTGCCTTGAGAATTCTTTCTTTGTCATTAATTTTTTATAGTTTTAATATAATTTGCCTTGGAGAAGCCTTTTTTGGGGGCGGAGGAACTAAGATAATTAGGTGTTCTATTAGCTTCTTGTAATTGAGGATCCATTTCTTTCCACAGGTTTAGAAAGGTCTTGTCAATTATTCATTTGAATAGGCTCTCTGTTCTCTTCTCCCACTCTTCTCCTTCTGGTATATCCATTATTCTTATATTGCTCTTTCTGAAGGAGTCAGATAATTCTCATAGAATTTCTTCATTTTTTTTAAACTCTCAATTCTCTTCTCTTCTTTCACCTGAGTCATTTCTAGATTTCTGTCTTCTGTGTCATCAATTCTTTCCTCCATCTGGTCTGCTCTATTTTCTAAGGTCGCTAGTTCATTCTACATCTCTTTTGTTGAATTATTCAGCTCCAGAATTTCTGCTTGGCTCCTTTTCATAGTTTCAACCTTTTTGGTGAGGCATTCCTTTTGTTCATTGACTTTCTTTCTGAATTCGTTGAATTGTTTTTCTGAGTTTTCTTTATCTCATTGATTTTTTTAGAACTGTAATCTTAAATTCTCTGTCATTTAAATCACATTCTTCCATGTCTTTAAGTTTACTTTCTGGAGATTTTTCATTTTCTCTCTGAACTCTCTTGTTATCCTAGTTATTGGTACTTGTTGGATTATTTCTCTGTCCATGCACTTGTGGGAATGAAATCTGCTTTTTTAAGTATTTGACACTTCACTGTTAGCAGGTTGATAAGCAGAGGTCCTTTTGTTTTCCAGTAGGTGGTGCTGAAGCGCAAGTTTTCATATTCTCTTACCTGCACTGCTAGGGCTTCTGGGACCTCTGTGGGGCAGGGTTGTCTCGGCCATGGAAAATGCCTCGTATTTCCCAAGGAGGTGGGTGGCCCAGTTGCCTTGGTCTAGGGACACCACTCCAGGAATTGGAAGTGGTGGGCTATGTGTTACCAGAGCTGCCTTCCTATAACAAAGAGCCACAGGCACAACGGCTCTGTCTGGGTTGACGCATCTCCCTCTACCAGGCTGCATTGTGATGGGAGAGGAAGGAGTGGGCAGGGGGAGGGGAAGGGTGTCTGTGCACCCACAGCTCTGCTCTTCCTCACAGGTTTAGCCACAATAAATACAGAAAAGTTTTTTCAGCCCTTTTGTGATCTCCTGAGTGAGGATTTTACTGCTGAGCAGGACACAAGATGATGAGATAGGTGGGTTCCTGCCTCTGTGGAATCCTATGTCTGGTGCTGGTGAGCTGTGGAGCACTGTAATTTTTTGTACCGCTTCTCTGCCCCTGACCCTGGACCTAGAGTCAATGTATGCTAGGCACTGAGGCCCAACTCTGGTTTGACCATGGAGATTGCACTCAAACCCTTCACTGCTATTACTTCTCCTGGGGCTGCTGAGAATGCAGGACTGCACACAGCTTCTGTCATTGTCCTTTTTCCCTCCCCAACCCATCTCCACTGTTCGCTCAGATACACCCACCTTAGAAGTCTCAATGCAAGAACTCCCAGATGTGTTTGTATGCCAAGCGGGAAATTCTTTGTTGAATTATAGCCATCCAGCTTGTAACTTTAAGAGACATGGAGGTCCTCTCATGCTTCCATGCTTCTGATGTCACTCGTGCATACATTATTTTTAAGTGTACTTTTGATGTTTCCAAATGTATAAGAAGAGACTGATTATCTTTTTATTATTGATTTTTAATTTGATTACATTTTGATCAGAGAACATGCTCTGTTTGCTATGTATCTTTTGGTATTAAGGTTTGGTTTGTGGTCTAATTTTTGCAGATATTCCATATGCCCTTGAAAAGAATGTGGATTCCCTAATAATTTAGCATAGTGATCAGATCAAGCTGGTTAGTTGTATTATTCAAAATTTCAATAACCTTCTATTTATATTTGCTTACATATATACCATTTTTTTTGGCTGACAACTGCTTCTTGAATATCACTCTTTCTGGATTCAATTGGTTTCATCTTTAAGTTAATCTGTTGTAGTTTTTTTTCAGCAAGTATTCATGCATGATATACTCTCTCAATCTTTGTCTGAAACAGGAATATTCAAGGGGGCATATTGGAACCAAACCTTGACATATGAGTTGCTTTAAACACGTCATCAATGGACCAAGATGCAACACATATATAAGTTGATACCATAATTAGCCCAGATGAGCAATTGGGTATAATCTCATCTAATCTTCCAGAATCATCTCTATAGCATTCATATAACTTCTCCTTTTTAATACTTCCAGAGGAATCATGCCCATGGAACTAACGAATGAAACCAGTGTATTCGATTTCATCCTCCTGGGACTTTCAGAGAAACCAGAGCAGGAGACTCTTCTCTTTAGTCTGTTCCTCTGCATGTATGTGGTCACAGTCGTGGGGAACCTGTTGATCATCCTGGTTATCAGCTCAGACTCCCACCTCTACACTCCCATGTACTTCTTCCTAGCCAACTTGTCCTTGGTTGATTTCTGTCTGGCCACCAACACTGTTCCCAAGATGCTGGTGAACATCCAGACCAAGAGCAAGTCCATCTCATATCCTTGCTGCCTAACCCAAATGTACTTTTTTCATTTTTTTGGCATTGTTGACAGTGTCTTAATAGCTGTAATGGCTTATGACAGGTTTGTGGCTATATGTCACCCCCTACACTATACCACCATCATGAGCCCACGCCTTTGTGGCTTACTGGCTGGTGGTTTATGGGTGTTTTCCTGCTTTATCTCCCTCATACACATCCTCCTTATGATGCGCCTGGTTTTCTGTGATGACAGAAAGATACCTCACTACTTCTGTGACCTCACTCCCCTTCTCAGGCTTTCTTGCACTGACACTTCCGTGAACAAGATCTTTGTGCTCATCGTGGCTGGGATGGTGATAGCCACACCTTTCATATGCATCCTGGCCTCCTATGCTCGCATCATCATGGCCATCATGAAGGTTCCCTCTGCAGGTGGCAGGAAGAAAGCCTTTTCCACCTGCAGCTCCCACCTCTCTGTAGTTGCCCTCTTTTATGGGACCACCATTGGGGTCTATCTGTGTCCTTCATCTGTCCGCACAGCCGTGAAGGAGAAAGCCTCTGCTGTAATGTACACTGCAGTCACCCCCATGCTGAATCCCTTTATCTACAGTCTAAGGAACAGAGAACTAAAGGGGGCCCTGAGGAAGCTCATCAACAGAAAAATTACCTCATCTTCCTGA